GTAGCTTCCTCCTGCATGCGGTGTTCTGGCTGGGGACTGATGGGTGTTGATGTCTGTTCATGTAGGGCCTTTTCCAGAGACGAGCCGGAACAACACACACGTCCTCACCGTGACAGACCATTTCAGCAAATGGGTCGAAGCTGTCCCTCTGCAGAAGAAGGATGCCTTGCCTGTAGCAAAGGCACTGGCCACCGTTTTTTACAGGTGGGCTCTTTCAGCTTGCACTTGTATTGCACACCTTCAGTCCTCTCTGATGGGAAGATGTTGCCCTCTGACAGCCTCCAGGGGCAGATAATGACCTTTCATGCGGGAAGGAATTGCTCCTTGCCAGATACCCCTGGGGCAGCAAGAGAAAGAGAATGGCTTTCTTTTGCAGACGAGTAAATTGAGGTGCAGAGCAGTTGCTTGCATTGCCCGTGCCTCAGCCATGAGACAGGAGACCCTCCCCTCACCTGTCCTATACTCTAGGCAAATATTTTTAGAGCCTAACCTTGCTCCTGTGAAAGCCATTTGGGGAGTTTGTCACTAACTTTAGTGGAACATGAATTTGGCACTTGAAGAGCATGAAGCCCAGGACCTGCTTTTCCCAAAGAGGTTTGTTTCCCTCAGTCTGGGTCTCATTTCCCCCTCAGCTAGGCCTGTCGGCATCCAGACAGTTTTTTAGGGCGGGCAGGCCAACTTCTCTCGGCCCTCCAAGGAAAGGGAGGTTGTGTCTGCCCTTCTCTTCACAGAAAATACTTTTAACACCTGCTGACGTGGGCTGAGAGGCCTGTCGTGGAGCTTTGCCTAGTCTAAATCGGGGTCTTTCCCCATCTGCTTTCTCGTCTAAGCCGTTGATCCTTCTTGTGTTGCTTGGAGCTTGATGAAATAAGGTCAAGGTCTGTTTTTAACTTCCTCTTCTTTCATTCAGATTTGGAGCAGCCAAGAATATCTACTGCAGTCAGAGCTGGGACTTCTGTGACGAGGTGAGTTGGGTGCTGGCAGCCTTTATGGTCTGTACGTTGCAGGGGCCATGTAGAGCCAAGCCATTTATGTGGATCTTCTGTAGACACCAGTAAACTCTCTGTCTTGTGCTGCTTCCAGTCTGCTGGGAGGATTCCCCCACTCCCTCCGTGTTTTCCACTAAAACAGGCATTTCTGAGCCCCCAGCCTACAGCCACGCTGCTGAAATATGGTGGCATCAGTGACATCCTTCTGATGACTGTTCTGCTTCAGACTCCCTCGCTGCAGGCCTGCTCTGGGCTGCAGCCGCTGCTGTCCTGTGTACCGAATGTTTTCAGCCATTTCAGTAGTACTGAAAAGATGGGGGGTTTCGTTCTGCCCCTCCATACCTCTCTTCTGCCCAGGGGTAGCTTTATTTTTGCAGCACTGGCTGGTGGGTGTATCTAGTTCCCCCCAAGGCAGTCTCCAATGCCAGAGGGCTGCGGTGGGATTCTTGTTGCCATCTTAACCTCCCTTGTTGCGATGATGTGGCCCCATGTCCTCCGCAGGTGAGCAGGCACCTGTGTGAGCGCTGGAACATCTCCCAGCTCCTCACGCCCGCGGAGCCTGCAGACTGTGCCAGCCTGGACGACCGCACTAGCGAGCAGCTCCGCACCTCCTTCCGTAATGTGGTGAATGAGAAGCCAACCGACTGGGACGAGCACCTTGACCCGGTCCTCTTTGACTTCCGCACGGCCGTCAACACCGTCACCAAGTACCCGCCCTTCTTCCTGATGTTCAACAGATACGTCTGCCTGTCGTCTGAGGTAACGCCCAAGGGGTAGCACATGGGTGAGGGGTTATTTCTTTGTCTCAATGCAGATTACAACCCCTTGCGTTGGTTCTGCTCCCTGCCTTTCAGGTTGACTTTGTCAAGGACTCCAAAGACCAGGGGGCCGGTCCAATCAAACCCGACCTCCCATCATTCACAGCAGCTGTTCAGGAGCAGCAAAATGCAGTGAAAGAGATTGTAAGTCTCATTGTGCCTTGAAGCTGGGTCTGTGGGGCAGGAGCATTTCAACACGTGCTGAGGGGAGGGAGAGAAAAGACAGGGCAAGGCTCCTCTGTGGGCCAGCATCGATACCACTCAGTACAGCTAGAGTGGCGGAGGTGTTGCAGCCTGGCACATTGATGGGTTCCCAAAAAGGAGACTCCTGTGGAAGTAGCGGACTGCAGGAGGGTGATATGGGGAGAGGGTCTTCTCTAGATCCAGCTGCATTTTTATGGTCGTCCAGCAGCTAGCGGGGAGAGAAGGGGACTCCTTCTCACAGCTGTCATGTGGCCTGGGAGAAATGGCTGAAACACACTGTGACTTCCTTTCTATAACGTGGCATGTTGGGACCCAGTGCAGTGCAAGCCTGGGGCATGTGCATAGGTCACATTGGTAAGTGCGAGCTGAGAGGCCAGGAGATGGAAAAGCAGCTAAGACCCTAGCCCCTGCTCCTCCCACACGAGTCTTCCCAACTGAGACTCCTTTTTACCCGACACACAACTTGCACCTGTTTCTAATTTAACGTAGGCAAGAGACTGCTCCCGGGGCAGCACTGTGCATCTTCACAGTCCAGGCTCTGTAGGTGGGGGTGGGAGACAGAGAAGGCAGGGCTTTCAAGCACCTAGGCTGGCCAACCCGGTTACCTGCACCATCTGCTTTGAAGGTGATCGCCAACATGGCTGCAGCTTACAAGCGGGAGCGGAAGAGCATGAAAAGGAAAGCGAGGGGCCTGTCCTCTCTCAGCTTCAAAGTGGAAGATAACCTGTTTGGGAGCAGCGCCAGCACACCACTGAAGAAGCTGAAAAAGGACGAGTTCGTGTCGTTCAAAATTGAGACGGTCCTGCCACCCGAGCAGAGCATGTCTGGGGCCAAGAAAACCAGCTAAGCCCTGTGGGGCTGGTGTGAAGGCATCCCACGCACGTACTGGTAACCTTAGCATGAATTGTTTTCTTACGAGCAGGCTTGTGCCTCTGCTGCATGGAAGACTCGTGTGCCAGCCTGGGATGCTTGAGGGGTGTTACAAGGTCAGTCCAGGTGTTTCTCTTTGGTCTAGGTCAGTGCCACTGCCACAGTTTCTGAATGTCCTTCTAGCAGCACTGGATTTTTCCATGCGGTGTTCCTGAGCAGTGGAGAGGCGTCTATCCCCACTTCGCAGCCTGGGAGCAGAGGCAGCAAGAGACTGCAGTGTCACACTTACATTGGAAGTCACTCCGGTAAAGTCCATGGAGTGACCCGGGGGTAAATGAGGAGAGAATCGGATGCATGGGATAGGCGGCAGGGCGGGAAGCTGAACCCATGTCTCTCAAGCACCGGCCCCTTGCTTTGACCTCCAAACTATCCTTAGACAGAGTTGCCTAAGTGGAGAGGGGTCTCAGCAGGTCTGAGCAAGTAACTTTGGATGGGGAAATCGTGTGGAGTAGACATGCTCTTTAACATGAGTTTGGAAAAGGAAGGTTCAGAAAACAAGATGGGTTTTTCTCTGACGATCCAGGCAGAGGGAAACCGGGTCGCTTAGTGATATGTCGCTCTTCCTTGAAAGGGGGAGAACGTTCAGGCTCCCATTCAGTCCATCTCCACATTGGCAGGAGCCATGCCAGTACCCCCTCTCCCCTTCCCTGGCCTGGGGGTCACCGTACGGAGCTGGTAGCATGCTTAGGGCAGCACCAGGCCTTGCTCCCCCAGGCACCCTGAGAAAAGTGGGCGAGTGGAAAGTAAAATGTCCTGCAGTTGCGAGTCGCACAGAGGGTGTCACAAGTAACAGTCATGGGTCGTGGGTGCTGGGTTAGGTAGCAGAGCATGCAGGCCTGGGGCTCTGCGCTGGGAATATCAAACACTGCACCAGCTGAGTCGTGCTGTACAGAGGAACCGTGTCCACGTCCACATGGAAAGGCACAGACATGGCCAGCAGCTCCTGTGCCGCTCAGTCCCGAGACACACACCGGTGGTTCACACTTTGGAAAGAAAACTTGCTGCATTTGTTCGTGGGCCTCGTGAAACCAGAACCTCGCAGCTCCTTGGGGCGGAGGGTCACTTCAAATCCCTTTGAACCAGTTCCCTGCCGTTCCACGCGGACTCCCGTTTTATACTTCTGTTTCCCGGCGTCGGGTGAAGCGCTGTAAAGAATAAAGTGTTTGGACTTTTTCTTGGCCGACTGCTCTTCATTCGTGGCAGGTGCCATCAGGGCTGCCTTGCTCGGGTTCTGCGATGCCTCAAATCGGGGTTTGGTGTGGGGGGAGGAAAAGCAGCGCTGCTCTCTGGGGAACGCTGCCTGGAAATCCCTCCAGAGCTGAGACGTGAGTGGGAGAGGAGGGTCTCCCCATGCCCTGACCTTGCCCTGGGGGGCACGGCCGACTTGCAGTGGGGGTGTGTGACAGGGAGCAGCCGGGGTGGGTGCAGTGGTGTGGCTGCGCCCTGTTTTGGACTGGATGGCACTGTGAGAGCCCTCAGAGAGGATTTTCACCTGCTTTAGGACATTAAAAGCTCTCCACGGCCTGGTCTCTCTGTGCTGGTGGGGCAGAAGAGGCTGGGAGCCAGGGGGTGCGGCCACCTTGCTGCTCCCACCCCCCGCTCTGGGAGATCCCGGATTGCCCCTGGTGAGCTGGGATGGAGACTGGCATCCGAGCACCCAGCGGCCTCCCTCGTCCCCAGGCGAGGCCTCGGTGCCTCTGGCAAGGGCAGCAGAGCCAGGGGTTGGCCACTTTCCCCATGCAGGGGTTTGGGTGCCCTTCTCCCACAAGCCACCCATGTGCCAGGCTGAGGTGGGCAGCGGGCGGCCCGGCTGGTGGGGACCAGGGAAGCCGGTGCCCTTGGGGGCAGCTAAGCCCCCTCCCCTGGCAAGCCCCACCCTGGGCATGGAGCATCTTCAGGTGCGTGGGGAAGCCCCTGATGCTGCAGGCAGCCCCTTGCTCTGCCCCCACAAGCTAACCCGGGCTAAAGTGCATCTGGACCCTCCAGCCTGGGGTAACCCCCAGGCCTGGCTGCAGCTGGGGGTGTGGCCAATGATGTCACCCTGGGAAGGCCCCGCCCACTTCCGACCTTGTCCCAGGGATTCTGCTGGCTGGGGAGGTCCTGCTGGTGCTGGGCTGCAGGTAAGCACCCTGCCCCCTACCTGGGGCAGCCCCTGCATGGGGCTGGGGGGATGATCCCCCCCACAAGCCCCTGCCTGCATTGGGGTCAGGGCAGGATGGATGCAAAGGGAGCCGGCAAGAGGAGCTGGGGGCACCGGCACATGCAGATCTGGCCTGGCAGTGCCAGCAGCGGCTGCAAGCAGAGCACCCCGCCCGGCATCACCTGTGGGCACAGGATCCTAGAGCCAAGTGCATGTGCACGGGCTCAGAGCATCTGCTGGAGACAGGCCCTGAACCATATGGCAGGCAGGGCTGCGGCAGGGGAGGGGGCTCCAGGCGCCGTGTTGCATGGAGGCAGAGGACAACGCTGCAGCCAGCCCCTCTCTGCGTGGGGGGCTGCAGCCTGGTGCGCTCGAGGCAGGAGTGCGCCAGGGTCTGCCTCCGATACAGAAGGGGCAGGGCTCGGCGAGTCCATCCCGTGCCCGTGCTGATGGCTCTGTGCAGAAGCTGCCGGCCCAGAGCCCCTGATGCAGAGGGGGGCACAGGCTGATCCAGGGGGGACCCTCCAAGGCACAGGATCGAGCTGTTGATTTTATCCGGTTGTTCTGTTGTGCCTGGGCAAGATCAAATGGCCTCCTATTGATTGTGAGGTCTGCTGCCGGGAGCAGCCGGCACAGCTGCTTTCCTCTCTGCTGCTGGATGATGTCTTGGTTTTTCCTCGGGACTGACTGGGCAGCAGTTGATGCATTGTAGAACAAAGCTGCCCAGGATGAAGTCTGGGCTACTGATGAGTGTGGGGAGCTTGAGCTGCATAGGCACAGGGCTGGGACCAAAAGTCCCCACCATCCGACGGTGGGTGTGTAGGGTCATGGGCCAAGTCCTCCAGTAGTCCCGGGATGCTTTGCATGCGTTGGCACCTCAACAGGCAGCTGCAGAGAGGCTGAAGATCACAGGCCTTTGCATGTCGTTTTCTCATCCCTGGGCACGGGTTGGGCAGGATTGAGAGTCTTGCACGGCTGCTCGGTGACAGGGCTGTGAATCCACCACCCGACACGCGCTAAAATTCACTTGATGCTTTATTTTTTTTTAATTGTCTCAGAGACATGGTGACATGAACCCCCAAAAGCCAGGCAATAGACAGGTCAGTGCCAGGAATATGTAGGAAGAACTGGACATCCATAGATTCATAGATGCTAGGGTTGGAAGGGACCTCAACAGATCATCGAGTCCAACCCCCTGCCTGGGCAGGAAAGAGCGCTGGGGTTAGACGACCCCAGCCAGATGCCTGTCCAGCCTTCTCTTAAAGACCCCCAAGGGAGGGGAGAGCACCACCTCCCTTGGAAGCTCATTCCAAGTTTTGACCACCCTTACCATGAAGAAGTTTTTTCCTGATGTCTAGCCTAAATTTGCTCTCTGTCATGCTCTCCGGCAGTTTGTGGCCATCCGTCCTTGTTACCCCAAGAGGCATCCTTCTGAATGGAGCATCTCCAGTCCCTTGCTGCATCCCCTAATGAATTTGGAGGCGGCCACAAGATCACCTCTCAGCCTTCTCTTGCGGAGGCTGAAGAGGTCCAGGTCCCTCAGTCTCTCCTCATAGGGCTTGTCCTGTAAGCCCTTAAACATCATCTGGACCCTCTTGAGTCTATCAACATCCTTCTTGAAGTGCGGCACCCAAAACTGGACGCCATACTCCAACTGCGGTCTGAGCAATGCCGCACAGAGGGGAAGTATCACCTCCTTGGATCTATTCGTCGTGCATCTGCTGATGCCTGATAAAGTGCGGTTAGCTTTGCTGATGATTTCGTCACACTGACGACTCACGTTCATCTTGGCGTCCACCATGACTCCGAGATCCCTTTCCACTGCTGTGCGGCTGAGAGGGTCATTCCCAACCAGTAGACGTTCTGGATATTTTTGCACCCTAGGTGCAGCACGCTGCATGTGTCCTTGTTGTCTAGCATCCTATCATGTCCTGCCCACTTTTCCAACCTGTCCAGGTCTGCCTACAATTGTTCCCTACCCTCCGGAGTGTGCACTTCACCCCACAATGTAGTATTGCCCGCAAACTTGGACAGAGTACACTTCACGCCCGCATCCAAGTCACCAATGAATATATTGAAGAGTACAGGTGGTTTCCATTTCTATAAATATGCATTGCGGAAAGCTATTGCAGCTCTAATGGCCGAGGAACCGTCCTTCGCTGTTGTTCGTTCCACCCGCAGTTGCTGCTTTCTGCACCGAATAGTCGATGCGGGAGATCACGCTGTCAGTCCAGTCCCGGTCTGACGGGAAGCAAGGCCACGGGCATTTCCCCGTTCTAACCGGAGCCCTTTGGCTGTGGCGGCTTGAATGTCTGCCATTCCTTCCTCCAGCGGGTCTGCCACGAAACAGCCGCTCTGCTGCTGCCACTACCGGTGGTTGCTTCGTTCTGTGTCCTTCTTCCAGCCAGGCCTTTGCTTGCTTGCTTTACCTGCCTCCATGCCCTTGGCTCTGTCTCCTGGCATCCCTGGAGCCATTTGGAGGTACCAGGCTGATTTCCACATGTGCGGCGGATGTTGCAATTGGCCTTCCCCTGCCTCTGTCCTGGGAACGGTGAGATTCCCCATAAAGAAACGAGGACTCCTCCTTTCCAAGCAGTTCCTACATGTCAGCGAGCTGGCGTAACCATTGTACCCGGCTCGGCTCCATTGCAAGGCCCCTTCCCTAATAGCGGGCAGGTTTTTCTGGGGTGTGTTGCACTCAGAAGAGTCTGGTGTGTGGCAAAGGCCGCGAGGCTGGAGAGTGCAGCGGGGCTGACAGTGGAAGAGCTGTGGGGTCCTGGGATGGAGGAAAAGAGCATGAGGCCGGGGAAGTGGCTTGTGCTGGGGGTATTCAGCTGAACGCACTCCTCCTTGCAGACAAAGGTCTTGCAGCGGGTGAAACAGGGAAGCACTGGGCTTGTTTCTGCCCCGGGGGTGAGCACGTCCCTGCCCGAGTCCAGGGCAGATCGAATGCAGGAGGGAGAGCTTTTCGAAGGTGCAAAGGACAGCAGTGTGTCCTGCCTGGGGCTGCACACACTGGCGTAGGTAGAGCAGAGTAATGATGCAGCTCTGGCCATGCAGGCCAGTTTCCCCGTACAGACCGGCCCTTGGAGAATTGGCTCATAAATAATAGATGGCCACGGTAAACCTTGACGGTGGCTGAAGCCTCGGATCCGAAGGTCATGCCTGTGCTGCGGGGATGGCGCGGATCCTAGCCTGCCTCTGACTGGCAGGGAGGTTTGCCCCAGTCTCCTTGGCCCCAGGAAGGCTGCATTTCCATGACCAGGCTTTGTGCTTGTCCTGCTTTCTCTCGAGGGGATACCAGGGAGCAGGCTCTATGGGGACACAACCCCGGCGGGAGTTTTCCCATTACAAGGGGCAAATGCTTGGGTCCCTGAGGGCATGGTCCCTCCGTCCCAGCGGCTGCCTCATCGACACCAGGTTTTCTAATGTTCCTAAGGAGTTTTTGGGCTTGGTTTTTCCAAACAGCATGAGCTCGACTTCACTGGTACTAACTGGCTGTGAGGCTTTAAGGATCGTCTCGCTGAAGGTGCTGCCACTGCCTGGCGGTGCCCGTTACCTGCAGCGACTGGTATGCTTGGTCTAGCACAGCTTGCTTGGATAAAAGCACTTTGGCACCTAAAATCCCTCCCCAGTCCCTGCTTCCCATCCATCTCTCTCCTTTTTGGGGTTTGAACTTTGGGTTTCTTGGTGTGGTGGCAGGGAAGTCTCTTCCCCCACCTTCCAGTTGGGTTTCGCAGAAGAGCGACCTATTTTGAGCATCGTCTTGGGTATATGCACAGTGTTGGAAGGACCCTGGAGTGAGCCTCTCCCGGACAGCAGAGACTGAAACGCTGCTTCTCCATTCGGTTATTTGAAATCTTGCATTTCAGACGCCGGGCAGCTGCTTGGTGTGTGAAAAGGGCCGGGAGGACAGGCTGGCTGCGCACAGGGCTGGGGCTCTTCCATAACCTCCCCCTTGCTCTAAAGGGGTTGAGTTGTGTTGCAGAAATACCGGCTTTGTTTGCAAGGAGTATATATATATATTTTTACTAGCAGCTTTTGCACAACGTGTTGGGCCGTATTGGGGCTTTTAGGCCAAAATAAAAGCAGAAGTTTGTTGCTTTTCATGGATCGGTATTTTTGTCCACCTGTGCCGGGCACCTTTCTCCTTCAGCTGAGAGGACAGAGGAGGTTGCAGACCTGTCTGAGCAAGGCTGTCTGTCCTCGCCATAAACTAGCAAGCCTCGCACACTGGTGCCAAGTGCGCAGGTGTTTAAGTGCAAGCAAGTCTTCATGTTGAAGGACCCCGTGTAGAGGTTTCTGTCGGTGATTCTTCACTTGACGGCTCCCAGAGCTGCTCCCCGTGACAGCGACCGCGTGTCCAGCCCTTGAATCCAAACTAGCCGCTGAATTCTGTGCAGGAGGTAAAAAACGTGACAGTAATGCTACTGCTGCGTGCCAGGCTGCCGCAGGGTTTAGTTGCAAGACGACGTGCCAATGAATGGTCTGACTGGCAATCCTTTGCACAGCAGCTTGGGCAGGCCAAGACGTAGGGAGTGGTGACAGCGTAGGCTGTGTCTAGTCTAGGACTTGGAGAGAACCACAGGCTCTGTCTGCATCCAAAAGTCCCTTCAACCCCCTCGCCAAAACCTCCCTTTTATATTTCAGCCTCCTCTTTGCTCTCCAGATGCCAGAGGCAGACGGGCCGTGCGGTCCCGAGTGTGGATGCTCTGAGATGAGGTTGCAGCGCTCTTGGCCCCGGCAGCAACCTTTGGCCGCCAGGTCCAAAAAATGAAGCTGTGTCCAGGAATTAAACTTCCTTACCCACTATGGCAGCAGGGAAGAGGTTTCCCATCGGCGTCTCAGTTCTCCACCCGCCTTCCCTTGCGCTCTCATGTGTGTTGAAGTAAAGAGCGCAGGTGTCCTCAAGCCTTCTATTACCTTTAATTTCTTCATCTTTGAGGTTATAAAATTGGCACCATCGGCATCTATGACCTTTTCTGGCCCTTTGTTGGCTGAACACGCCAACGTTATTAATACTCAAGTGGCTTTGGGATAAATGGGTGTGATGGACTCAGCTCTCGGGGCTCAGTTTACCCAGTTGAGGGTGTTTTATGGCATCGGCACGAGCCGAGCTGCAATTTCGCTCTGTTCGAGTCCCTCTTGGTGGTGCGAGCTGGAGTATCTGTCGCAGGTTTTATGGGCAGGCACCTTCATCCTAGATAGTATCTAGCATACCGCCCCATGGCATCGATAATCCCCTTCTCTTCCTTTTGCATGAATACAACGCTGTTAAAAAAAGGCGGCGGCAAGAAGCAACTGGTTGTGCTCAGGCTTGTTGCTTGACTCCTTTTTCGTCCTGGCTCGGGGGCTGTTTGAGAGCGTGGGCACCCGGGCTGAGAAGCCAAGGTGCTCGTGCGGGAGTAGAGGCACATAGCCAGGCCCTTGCCTGTCTTCAGCCTTCCTTGAAACCTCCTGGACTAACTTGTTTCCAGCCCAACACTGACCTCCAGCGGCTGTCGCTGCACAACGCTGGAGCTCTCGGTAGAATAACTCATCCTCCTGGGACCGGTGCCGAGGGCTGGGAGAGGATGGGTTGCGGTAGAAAGCCATCCCCACAGTGGCAGGCAAAGACCGTGAAGGGAGGAGACTGCTGCTAATTTTCCCCCTTGCAAATCTATGAACTATTTGCAAGGTTTGGCATGGAAATAAAAAACCCCAGCCAGGCCCACCCGGGCACGTGATGGGGAGCCGTGCAGCTTTCAGCATCACTGGCTGCTCCGGAGGAGACCTCTCAGGTCACGCGGGAGGTTTTCTTTCTTAGAAGACTCTTTGAGCTCTGGCTTCATGAGTTCATTTGCTTTTGGGGAAAGCAGAGGTCTGCCTGGATGTCAGCATCCCCTGGCTGTTTTAACGAGCTAGATAATGAGCACATGGAACAAGAGGAGGGAACGAACAGGGAAATCGGCTGCTTTATGATGTTTGTTGTGAAGGGGTAAAGAGTGAACAGATGGCGTTCGTAGGGAATGGCCCGGCAGACTCTTCAGGTTCGGGCTGGTTTGAATCTGATGAGCAGGAAGGAGCTGGGAAAGGACACTGCGTGTGTGTTAGTGGCCCTCGGATGGGAGGGATAAAGACCCTGGCTCTCCTTTTGTAAAGCGCTTTGAGATGAAAAGCGTTAGGTCTCAGCGGTGTTTGGTAGTCGAACTGCCAGGACGTGCCGTTCCCACTGCCTGCCATCGGTTAGATACTCCCCTGGGTCGTCCTCGGCTGCTCAGCCTCTTCTCTCTCCATTGATTTTGCTCTTCTTCCTGCTGTCCTGACTCATAATCAGGTCCAGGTAACCGGTGGCCCGTGCTCGGGATTTGGGATCCATCCACCCCTTGGTATCTAGCCGCCCTTCCCAAGGCAGAGGCAAAGAGGTGGAAAACCCTTCCCGAGTCACTTTGAAGAGCTCTTCTCAAAGACCCTGCTCTCTCCCACTGTCCCGGAGGGGGGGGAGCCAGCAGGTGGGTGGGATGGCACACCTCCACCTGCTGCCGGCTGCTTGGGATTTTCACACGGCGGTAGCCGTGGCTATCCAAGAACGTGGCTAGCCAGCCGGATGAGGCTCTGGGAAGGATGCGTGCCCAGCCTTGGGGTCAGTCGAATAAAGCTCTGGCGGTCGGACGTAGTTGCTCCCAGGCACGTCCCTGATGGGGTTGTTGGGGAGGGGGGAGAAGGCAGTTGGCTTCTAACAGAACCACAGGTAGACGCATCTCCGTACCCCACGGCATCGACGGACCACCCTGCCGAGGGTCCCCCGCGCTCCCATCCCCTTCCTTTTCCCTCTCTAGGAAAGACTGAGATGGCCGCCGTGCCGTCGAGCTAGGGGACCCTCCTCACCTTTCTCTGCCCCCCGCTCCGCTCTGCCTCACCCAAGGTGAAAGGGAAGATGAGAGCGTGGAAGGCCGTCGCCAGCACCCTCACGTTCAGCGGCGTGGACGTGGCGGTGACCACGCTGCTGTACCTGCACAGCCCCAGCGGCAAGGATGTCCTCCGGGACCTGAAGAGCTTCAATGTCTTCAACTCCATGTTGGACGTGTGGGGGGGCTGTCTGTACAGGACCTGCGCGCTGCTTGGAGCCGCCATCGGGGTAGCCAAGAACACCACCTATGGCCCCCGGCGCCTGAAGGCCTCCCAGACCTTCATCATCCTCGTCTGCCTGCTCATGGGCATCTATGCCATGGTCAAGCTGCTGCTCTACTCGGAGGTCAGGAGGACCATTAAGGACCCGTGGTTTTGGAGTTTGTTTGCATGGACGTACGTGTCGCTGGCGGGCACGTTCTGCCAGTGGCAGCTGCTGGCCCGTGTCACCTCCTCCGGGGAGGCGCTGGGGGTCAGTTCGGAGTCCAGGACAGAAGCGGAGGAGATATGTGACCCCGGCTCTGTCCCTCCTCAGCAAAGGAGGGACAAGGCGTCGGGCGCCACTATCCACAAGCTGCTGTCTTACACCAAACCGGATGCCGTCTTCCTGGTCATCGCTGCCTTTTTCCTCCTCGTCGCCGCTTTGGGTGAGTGAGCGCTGTTTTAATACTGTTGTGAGAATCAGATGTCCTTCTCTGGGTGAGCAAGCGGCTCGTTAGTCTGGCACAAGGGGAAAGAGGGTTCAATCCCACCTCGCTCCTCACTGGTGATGGTGTTTGTGTCTTCCCTGCTCTTTGCTTGCTTCGGGGGTGGGAGTGGGGCCATCTCTTTTACTCTGGGGGCCGATGTTCTCGGTCTTGCTCAGTGCTGCCGTGCTTGTGTCCTGACCTCCGCAGAGGAAGGGCCTACGCCAGGCTCAACCTCGCCTGTAGACAAGAAGTGACGCATTGGCCTTTATAAAACCTCCCCGTGTTGTTCTGTTCAGCAG